ACCAATATGATGATCGGAGCATCAACGTAGTTGTCGGATTTGAGAGTGGGTTTTGATGGGTGCACAGTATGGGAACAAGGTGTGTGATAAAAGACTGTGATAAATGGTGCAGCAAATGATTGATTGATTGTCTGCAAAGGCTCTCAATTGTTATCCATTGATGTTCTGCTTCTGTGTTCTATCTACTGCGCTTTCTACCAGTTTATATATCCATCTCTGCTGAGCTTGTTGAGGTCTCTCGGTTCGGAGGGCGGAGATCCATCATCTCTTGTTGAGTAGTTGAGCCAGCTCAACGCAGTTATTCGATGGTACCGGTTCTGCGCAGCTCATCTATGACTCTATGAGCCATCGGACTTCGGCTCCATCTGGTCATGTTGGCCATACCGGCTGTGATCTCGGACATGGTCTCGGATAGTCTTATGATGACGCTTTCTTCTGGCAGTAGATGACTGAGTTCGACCTTAGATCACCTGCAAATCTGACACACCCCTTCAGCTTGGCAAGCCTTTGGTAAGCTGGAACTCATCAGGTGAGTGTAAGGTCGTTTAAGTAAGCTTGGATTTCATCAAGAGGTACTTCATGCGTGATCTGGTGTTCCCGTACTTCTACCAGTCCAAGTTGGGTTAAGAAACTCTCCCACTTGTTTCCTGGGAGTACCTTGGTGAACCCGTCGGCAGTCATCTCTGTTGATGGAGTGTAGGCTACTTTGATTCGACCAGCTGATACCTCTTGCCTTAGCCAGTGGTTGTGAATATCAACGTGCCTCAGTTTGGTTTGGAGTTTGGTCAGTTCTTCAGTGACGAGCCGGATTGTTTGAGTATTATCACACTGGATAGTGATGTAGCTTGTTGGCAGTTTGACCTTCAGCTCATCCAGTAATCGTGACGTGAAGATAGCTTCTTTAGCTACTTGAGATAAAGCTAGTAATTCAGCTTCCGTTGTTGAGGTGGTGACAGTGTCTTATTTGTTAGCTCTCCATGCAATAAGACCGTTGAACAGTTCAATCGTATATCCTTGGGAGCTTCTCCTATCCAGGGTATTGTCGGCAAAGGAGGCATCACTAGCTACTTGAAGTGAGTCACCTCCTCCAAGTTGGAGTGCTCTCCATCTCGTGCTCGATAGGTACATTAGTACTCGGTCAGCAGCTTCTTGGTGCGTAGTGTTCGGGTTTGTAAGGAAACGAGCCAAGCGTGACGTTGCAAACGCTATATCTGGTCTAGCAGTTACTGCAGCAAATAGGAGTGAGCCAATTTTGCGCTGGTACTTATTGATCTCAGATGGCGTTGCCAAGCCAGTGTGAGGCTGAAGCTCAGAAGCAGCCATTGGAGTATCGTGGCGGACGTCTCGTTTATCAGCGAGCTGATGTATCTTATCGATGTATGCGGTCTGTAAGAGCTGGATAAGGCGTTGGTTACGTCATACTGTTTCAGTTCAAGATCGTATTTGGCTGCAATTGCCATGAGCATCCGGAAGGAGCGGCTGGCCAGTGTTGCAGCGTAGGTGTCTTGTGATGTGACGTTTCTTTGCTGGTCTCCACGTACTACTAGTCGGGCTTTGAATTTGATAAATCGGTGGTGTTTATCCAATTTGTAGGTATAAACCCACATGCAATCAAGTATCTGTTGACCTGTTTGTTTGATTGGATTGGCTGGTACTTCAGTCCATGATCTCATCTTCTGGTGGCTTATTATATGAGCTTGTTCGGCTTCTTTGAATAGCTCGCCCATTGGATGGTTATCCAGGTTTGTTCGGCATGTTGGCAGAGGTGGGAGTTGACTGCGATGGAGCTTCAAGCCTCTGGCGAGCATTCTTTTCATCTTTGCTTTGTCTATCAATTCTCTTCTGTATTGCCCAACGTTTCCTGCCTGGGTGCCTGCCATAAAGGCTGCTGCCCATGGAACAGTTTTGGATGATCCTTGGTTATCACAGGTTTTTATCACAGTAGTTGATTGTTCTCCACCTGAGCCGATTTCAGATGACTTATATAATGCTAGTCCTCCAGTCATCAATTGAGCTAGGAGTGCTGCTGGTGGAGGAGACGGTGATGGAGTTGGGTAACATTCCCTGATCTTTCTTCCTTGATAGTAGCCAGGTGGGTCTACTTCATTGGTTGTTGTATCCAGATCGGTATCGTCCTCATAGAAAGACTCTGTTTCTGGCTGATGAACCGGTGTTGGGAGCTCAATAGTTCTTATATGAGTAGCAATCTCTTCCAGCGTTTGATGCATGAGGTTATCCATTAGGTCCTCTGTTTTGCCGTTGAAGATTGTATGCTCATCAAAGATAACATCTCGAGTACTTATCACCTTGGCCATGGATGGTACCCATATCCGGTAGATATTTGATGACCGGCATCCAACAAGGTAACCAATCCAGGCCTTTGGGTCTAGCCGCTGGAGTCTTGATTTGCCACGGTGGGTATCATCAGTCATTGCAAAAGCTTTGCACCCATAGGCTTTTAAATGAGCTAAATTGGGCTTTCTCAGTGATGCTGCAATTCCTTGACTACGAGCCACTCCTGTAAAGAAGGTCTCATATGGCGTTTTCCAGTTGTTTGAGTAACTTGGTGTTCGATTGTAGAGGTATACTCCAGCTCTGGTGATTTCTGGCCAGAGTTCCCAAGGCAAATTAGCGTCGAGCCGCATTGCGCGTGATTTCTCTTTGTTGATCCCTCCAGAGCGCTCAGCTCCTCCATTTTGAGCTTGAGTGTCTGGAGCTGAAGGTTCGACAGTGATACCTTGTGAGCTCAACCAGCGCTGGACTTCTGGTTTCACCGTGGTAATCTCGTTATCAGCTTCAATTACCTTGACTGAGATATTGTACTGATTCTTCAAGAAGAGAATGAGGTTTTCCAGCATCTTGATGATTGACTTCGCTGATCGGTTATCCGTGAAGTAGAAGTCCCACTGTAGTTTGGAGAGCTTCTCAGTGACTAGCATCTGGCTCTTCTCTTTGTTGAAGCTCTGTACTTCATGCGAGTGGAAATCGATTGAGATTCTCTCTCCCAGTCCTTCGTAGCTGATTCGTAGTGCGCGACTGATTTGACGTCTTATCTTGGCTTTGCCGCAGGAGTCACATTCAACAGTAGTTACTCCTTTCACGCGCACCCCTTGAGTTTGCTGGACAAGGTGCTCAATTGCTGCTGGTCCTGGATGGCCAAGTCTCTTATGCCACAGGAGTGCAGTTGCTCTGGTTGGCCTAGGTTTGTAGGTGTAATACGTCGCTTCTTGCAATGGATGAAACTCGAGTACCCATTGGCCGTAGATCTCAGTGAGATTTCCGATTGTCTGCCCGTCTGGTTTATTCAGGGTTGTCGGTTCTGATTGGGTGTTCCACCATATTCCTCTCTGCCGGAGTAATCGGAATGAGACTAGGTTGCAGTGGATATCCGGGCACATAGCCACGTCATGCAAAGCTAGTTGATTCACCTCAGATTGATTCTTCAACGTCAGATTGATGGATCCATATCCCTTCACTCATATCTTTGAATTGCCAGCCCAGATATAGTCTTCTTGAGCAGGTGGACGGTAGTTGTAGATGCCTGAATCGAGGATAAACGAGTCCTGTAGCGGATATTTATCACAGTTGTTTATCACAGTTTGAAAGGATGCGGTAGCAAAGGTCCCTTCAATACTTGCAACTCTTCGGCCATATAGTCATTCTTGATCTCTAGGCATTGGAGTTGGTAATCGCTTAAAGCGAGGTTTGGACTGCTCTTTGATTAGTCCTTGAAGCGTTGTGTCATACTTACGCTTGTAGTTGACAAGCTTTTTTTGAGTCTTATTTGGATTCTACCACTCAGGTGCCTTATCTGGGAAGATATAGTAGCAGTCCTGCAAATTGTGGGGTCTACTACAAGCAGGGCAATATGCTTCATCTACTGTAGTTGTTTCTTGATCATGAGATCGTTTGACGTTAGCATTACTGCCGCGTGTACGTTGATTACGGGGTCTACCCCGGATTTTAGAGTTTGTCTCGTTCTCATACGGAAAACTGGTCTGATGATCCAGTGTACGTTTTTGTGCACGGGGTCTACCCCGGTTATTGAGTGGCGCGCTTTCAGCAAGAGAGGCGTCCCGAGTCTTGCCCTGGGTGGATTCACCACTACCAGCGGGGTATTCTGAGGTGTCATCAACCGCAAAAGCAGCCATGTGTTTCCCTGATCTAAGAGGATGTTTCACCATCATGTGTTCGCGGAAGCGTTTCATCATCTCCTTCCGGGTTATGCCGGGATTGAATCGCCTATGGTCTTGAAAAGTTATAGACCAGATGGGAGCAGCTTTATAAACAGCCGCAAGAAAGTCTTTGGTAATTACGTTGATTTGTAATAGCTCCACGACTTGATATGTTTCAGCTTCCGTAGATGCTTGGTCATACTCAGCTAGCCAAGTATTCCAGTTTGCCACGTTCCTCATTGGTTTGAGTGAGTTGAGGTATCTCTCACGAGCTCGCTCTTGTTCGATTCGTTCGTCTACACCAACAGTTTGTTTGAGGTTGGTGAGCCACTGTCGTAGTGACTGGTCAGGTAGGCAACACGTGCGCAGCAGATGCGGTGTAACTGATGATTGGATGAATACCGTGATTTGCTGTAAGCTCGTCTGCTCTTTGTCGTATACGTGTCGATCGATTCGATACTGCTCAGAGAGAGCCTTGTAGTATTCAAGATCCTCCTTGAACGCCTTAAGGCCTGCAGTTGACAATTCAGATTGACGTGATGGTTCCTGAACGTTGGAGGCTGGCGTATATTCAGCGATCGCTGGAGGGCTGACCATTTCTGGCTCTTCAATGAGTTCAGTATTCGTAGCTGGGTTGATCTTATCCTAGATCTTGTAGGCTACGCATCTTGATTGTAGTTGAGTCAACCAAGCCGTGTAGTCAACGTCCGTCCTCAGCGTCACTGTAGGATCACGTTGCGCTTGGTAGATCATTTTGTTGTTGGCTTGCAATCTGTAACAGTGATAATTAGCGTTACTCCTCAAACTTTCAAGTTTTTATTGATCGGGCGTATAGCGCAGTGGTAGCGCGTTACAGTTGTACTGTAAAGGTCCTGAGTTCGAATCTCGGTATGTCCCCTTAGGGCTGAATCCGCAGTGATAATTCACTGTAGATTCAGTTCTTTTTGCTGAATTGATTGGTGATTGGCTCAACTCGTTTTGGTTGTTGGTTTGGCTCGATTCGGTTGAGGCAGTGAGACTCTTAATTGTCAGATTTAAAGGTCACTTGGAAAGATTGATGTGATCAACAGGATTGATTGAATTGTTCTGTCTATTCTCTGCCCTTTCTGCTGCTCTTGATATACTTCAGAAAGTTCCTTGATTGCGCTCGTGCCCTAGGGTCTCCCTTTGTTGAGCTGGCGCGTTACTTGATTGCGGCTCTCCTGTCAAAGGGATGCCCGCAGTTGAGCTGCACGCGCTCCGGAAAAAAAAACCCACTCACAAAATAGCTTGGCGCACCCCACCACCACACAATTTACTAACAAACACGATGCAAGCAGCTATTTTATGTGATTTTGGAACTTAAAGCTTTTCGCATATATATAAATTACCTATCGCAAGATTTTAAGGTAGGTTAGATAGGTAGTTGCGAGACCTCTATATACTTAGTAGCCCGTCATTTAGCCTTCTATCTTAATGCAATCCTTTAGTCTCTAAGGCATAGATTGCACGCGTTCATTGATAAACTTCTGCGATATAGAGTCCCATCCTTTAACTACAAGCTCACGAGTCTTAAACTCATCCTAGTAAGGGTATCTCTTTAAGAATTGCTTTGGAGGCTGCTAGCAGTTCTCAATAGGAGAGAGATCTAGCGATTAAGAGTAGTTAAAATAGCTCTCTAGGCTATGCTTCTTCTTCTAAGTGCGTACAATATTCGTTAATCCTATACTATAGCTAGAGTCGTTATCCTCTTCAAGAATAAAGTTATCTCTACAATTAATCTAAGGCTTAACGATAGGCTTAAGAATCTAATCTCTATAGACCTTAAGGCTCATCTTTCTATTGCAATTACTAGGGACGTTGTAGAAGTAGAGAGAGGACTTAAAGTTAAAGCTAATAGCTGCCTAAGAGTAGGCTCTTTTAAAGTGTTTCTTATCGTCTCTATTTAATGTGTATTGGATATAATCCAAACAGTATCTCTCTCTAGGCTTCCTAATAATCCTAGCTTTTCCTTTAGGCCCTATACCCTAGTAGACCTTATTAGAGAATCGTACTCGATACTAGTCCTTAGGTATTAGATACCTCTCGAGTATAACTATAGCCCACTCAACGCGACGCTTACTAACGCGTTAAGATACCTATCCCTTTATATAGGCAATATACTTGTAATAATCCATAGAGCCTATAGCCTTCTGTAGAGTCTCTCTAGAGTAGCTAAAGTTAAGCTCCTTAGCGAGCTGATCCCATGTAAGTGATCGCGCGTCCTACCCAAAATCTTGAAGATATTAATTATATTGCTCTAGATCTTTTAGAGAGAGTATAGGAGGCCTCCCTCAAGCTTCTTCAACAGTAGGATTATTGTGGTGAGTCCTATTAAAGACCATATTATCCTCTTTTAGCGTAGCCCAGCCTGTCTCCTTAGTGAATCTAAAATATTTAAACGCGTCGCTTTTAAAGTAGGGTATACTATGCGCGTCGTTGAAGCTATAGGTACCCTTTAACCTCGCCTTTTTTGGAGTAGGATAATTAGCAGCATCAAGCATACGAGGCATAGCATATAATCGCGCGTAAAAAGTAGATAATTAGACTATTGTAGTATGGTAAATTAATTATGGTAGTTGATTGTTGACATTTTAGTGTTCCGCGTGGCGCGGGCGGCCTTACTGAGTGGGTTTTTTTTTCCGGAGCGCGTGAGCTGGTGCGGCGCGGTTTGGTTTGGCTCGCTTAGCTAGTGGCGCTAGTGGCGCACGTGCGCGCGTGCCCATCTCGATCGCCATCTCGATCGCCATCTCGAATCTCATGCGCTCATCTGACATTAGTATTATTATTACTTTACTTTACTTTACTCTCTATTACTTTACTTAACTTTACTTTACTTTACTCTATTATATCTTTACTTTATCTTTATAAATCTTTATTATAAGTATATCTTTAAACTTTGTAAATTAATATAACTAACTACTAAACTAGTACTTAATAAATAAAAATATAACTATATAGATTATAGTTATATAAACTCGAGTAAGTAGTTCTTTTAACTTTAGAAAGTACTATAACTAATTACTTAACTAGTACTTAATAAAAAGATATATAGCTATATAGATTATAGTTATATAAACTCGAGTAAGTATATCTTTAAGCTTTAAGATATATTATAACTAATTACTTAATTAGTACTTAAATACTCTAACTATATAGATTATAGTTAGAAATACTAAAGTAAGTACTTATTAAATTCTAAATAGTATTATAACTAACTTCTCTATTAGTTAAACTAAAGTAAAATAAATATATAGTTTATTAGAAAAGAATATCTTCTCGAGTAGCTTTCTCTAAAGAAGATTTATTATCTCCTAATTTAGAACTACCTTCTATAGCTAATCTAGCTTCTATTTTTAGAAATAGAAAGTTTATATTAGAACTTTGCCCTTATATAGAGGGAAAGCCTAGATTATTTAAAGTTCTTTGTACTACTTGTAGTTTTACTACAAATGTTAAATGGCCTATTAATACTAGTAACTTAAATATACACTATAAAAATAAACACTTTAACTTAGATATAACTAGTAATATAGAAGAAGATTCTAATATAGACGATAGTTCTAATATAGAAAGTAGTAGTCTTAATACTAATAATACTTTAAACTCTTATTTTAAAAGTAGTAATTTAAGAAAATAGTCTAGTTTTATCTTTTTTAGTAAAGAGAAGTATAAGAATAATCTATTATCTTTTATTTTAAATAATAATTTACTTTTTTGTATAGTAGAAAGTACTAGTTTTAATAATTTAATAAAATATTTAAAAGATAATATTCCTACTATAGATTAATTAACTATAAGAAAAGAGTTAGATACTTTTTATAAACTAGAATTAAATAAGCTTAAATCTTTACTTAGTAAAAATAATAGTAAATTCTCTCTTATATTAGATAAATAGAGATCTAATAATAATATAGATTTTTTTATAATTATTTTATATTACTTAGATAATAACTTTATATTAAAAAGCTATTTAATAGGATTTAAAGATTTGACTAACTTTAAATCCTATTCTATATTAAATAATATACTAAAAGAGTTTAATATAAGAAAAAACCTTATAAGTATAACTAGAGATAATACTTCTTCGATAACTAGTACTATAGAATTAATTAGAGATAAATATAATTAAAAGTTTAACTATAATATAATAGATATTAGGTATACTACGTATATTTTAAATCTAGTTAGTAATAGCTTTCTAGATTATACTTTCTTTAATATTAATAATACTAAAAAGTTTAATAATAATATAAATAAAATAGTAGAAGAACTTAATAATAATAATAATAATAGTATAGATCTACTTAGTAGAAAAGTATTACCTATATTAATAAGAAACTTTATTACTAAATTTAAATATAATTACTTTTTAAAAAATACCTTTAAAAAAGTAGTAAGAAATAATAAACTAAATAATATAAGGCTAGAAATATTAATTAAAGATAATACTACTAAGTAGCTATCTACTTATAATATACTAAAACGATTTACTTATTTTAGAGAAGAGATTACTATAGTATTAGATAAAGCTAATAATCTTTCTTCTTCTAAAAAAAAGAAATCTTAATTTAGAATCTTTTAATATAGCTTTAGATAATTAGAATTATATAATTAAAATAGTAGATATACTAGAGTTCTTTAAAAAGCCTACTATAAAACTATAAGGATCTAGTAGTAATATATATAGTATAGTATATATTAGTCAATTATATAATAGACTAAAAGAAATTAAATATAGAGTAGACGATCTATTTATTAAAGAAGGGTTAAAACAAGCTATAGATAAATTACTATTCTATTTTCCGATTAATAATACTAATAACGTGTTTCACCACCGAGCGAGCGACATCACCGAGCGAGCGGCTCTAAAACCTATACAAAATCCTGCTTAGTAAGCAGCTCTATCTCTAGAACTACTAATTAGAACTAGCTATAAATTTTATAGTAGATTTCTATATATACTAGTATATACTATTTAAAATATCTAAATTCTATAATAAGTATTTATAGAGATACTAAAGTATAGGAGCTAAAAAATAGCCTTTTCTAAATAGCTTCCTAATTACATAAGCTAAAGCTTAGATATTCTAGATTTAGTTTATTTACTTAGGTGCAGCTCTATTATAAAATTTATAGCCAGTTCTAATTAGTAGTTCTAGAGATAGAGCTGCTTACTAAGCAGGATTTTGTATAGGTTTTAGAGCCGCTCGCTCGGTGATGTCGCTCGCTCGGTGGTGAAACACGTTATAAATAAACTAAAGGATTTATATATTATAACGCTATTAGATCCGCATTTTAAACTAGATATCTTTACTAGTTTAGGTTATAATATAGAAATAGTTACTAATATAAGAGAATACTTTATAGAAATATATAGTCGATATAAAGAAAAGAGTAATATAGTAAATACTAGTACTAATATACAATCTAGTTTAGTACTACTATAAATCTAGAAGATATAGCTTATAATAGTGATGATGAATGATATATAAACTCTAATAGATTAAATAGTATAGTAGATAATGAAGTAGAATTATATTTAAGCGAACCAAGAATTCCTAAAGATATTACTATAGATAGCTATTATAATACTAATAAAAGTAGATTCCCTATTATATATACTATAGCTAGAGACTATTTAGCTATATTAATAACTTCTACTCCTTCAGAAGCTACTTTTTCTAAAGTTGGTAATATAGTAACTAAATCTAGAAATAGATTATTATCTAGTACTATTAAAAAGTTAATTATTTTAAAAGAACTTAACGCTATAAAAGATGAAGAAGAGCTTATTAATGATAATTTATTATTTAAAGAAGAACTTACTAATAATACTATCTTAACTAGTAGAAATAAAGGAAAGGAAAAAGAAATTA